GTTTAAGTAAGTCCCATTTGTTGATTCTAGGAATTTGGAGCCCGACCCCACAATATGTAGATCGGAGCCAACCTTTTCTTCTATCAGACGCATAGTCTCTGATTTGATATCAAGCTCCTTGATCCAGAAAATGGGGTTCTAACAGCAAAAATTTTAAGAATGGCTGAACACTGGCCTTCAACTGAGAGACTCTCAGTTGATAATGGTAAAGATTTGAAGTTACCTGTACAACTTCATTTTTTGTGGGGAGTGGTAACAGAGATTGAACTCAGAAACACTCAACCACTGAGCCCCATCCCCAGCCCTATTTTGTATTTTATTTAGAGACAGGCTCACTTTGTTGCTTAGCACCTCACTTTGGCTGAGGCTGGCTTTGAACTCATGATTCTCCTGTCTCAGCCTCCTAAGCCACTGGGATTAAAGACACATGCCACCGCACCTGGCTACAACTCATTTTTTAAAATACTTTCAAATATTTATTTTGACCTTTTTAAAAAAAATTATATATGACAGTGGAATGTATTACAATTCTTATTACACAAATAGAGCACAATTTTTCATATCTCTGGTTGTACACAAAGTATATTCACACCAATTCATTTCTTTATACGTGTACTTTGGATAATAATGATCATCACATTCCACCATCATTTATAACCCATGCCCCCTCCCTTCCCCTCCAACAACTCATAGGGATAGGGAGAGAGGGAGCATGGGAAGAATAGACAATTTCATTTTTAAACTAAACTTTTTGACTGCAGAACTGTCTTTCTTCCTTATAACATCTGTTAAAATCTCATAGGCAGGGCTGGGATATAGCTCGGTGGTAGAGTGCTTGCCTAGTATATACAGTCCTCTGACTTCAGTCCTCAGCACTGCAAAACAACAAAACAAAAAGAAATCATGGGTATTATGTAGAACATGATAGATACACAGAGGTCTCCAGCACAAGCCTATAATGGCAAAAAAAGAAAGAAAGAAAAAAAAGACCATGAATGGTTAAAATGGAATGCTTAAGCAATCAGTGATGTATAGCTATGCAGAATCATTTTTATAAAATCTTTTTAATTTGGGAAAGGCTAAATATTGTTTAAAAGAGCAAGAAACAAAATGTGATATAATGTCATTCAGCAAGGTAAAAACTTCCACAGATAAAGGCTGGACAGAAAAAGACCAAAGCATTAGCAGTGGCCATGCTGGTGTGCAGTTATTGATAGTTTTAGGAAACTTTTAAAAAAATTATACTTCTGCCTTCAATAATAGCATGTATTGCTCTCATAGTCAGAACAAAAAATCAGACTTAAAAAACTCCCAGCTAAAGATTGCTTCATTGAGGTATTTTGCCTTGGGAATCTCTGCTTGATACAAAAGTCTCTAGGAAACAGGTCTACTCTTCTGTATAAGAGGTGAGTTGAGAATAATCCCCTTTCCTACCCTGTTTGAAAAAAATACCATTGCAGTCCTGGTGCAGTGGTACACCCTTGTCATCCTAGCTACTCAGGAGGTTAATCCAGTTAGTTGCTAATCCAGCAAGTTCAAGGCTAGCCTGGGAAACTGAGACCCTGTCTCAAAAATAAAACATAATGGGCAGAGAGAGGACTTTGCTTAGTGGAGAGCATTTGCCTAGCATGTTTGAGGCCCTGGGTTCAATCCCAATACTAAACAAACAAACAAACATTTAAACTATTTTTAAGCGTATAGTTCAGCGGTCTTTTAATATTTACTTTTTAGTTTTCGGCGGACACAACATCTTTGTTTGTCTGTGGTGCTGAGGATCAAACCTGGGCCGCATGCATGCCAGGCAAGCACACTACCGCTTGAGCCACATCCCCAGCTCCTAGTTCAGTGGTCTTAAGTACAGTCACATTGTCATATGACAGTCCCCACCACTCATTTCCAAAGCTCTTCATCACCTTATACTGCAGCTGCACCCATCAGACAGAAACTCCCTCCCTCCCCTCTCTCCAGCCCTTGGGAGCACTGTTCTGTTTCTAAGATTTTGACCCTTACCTCATGGAGCCATGAGATGCTGCATGTCCATGTGCTTCAGATCAGTGGACCCTATAATATTTGTCCCTTGGTGGCTGTCTTACTTACTTAGTATAAGGTCATCAGGATTCATCCACATTAGAGCAGGTACCAGAATTTCATTCCTTTTTAAGGGTAAGATCCATGTGCGTGTACTGCATTTGGATTTTCCATTCATCCATCAGACAGGGGACATTTGGGCCTCCATCGTTGGCTGTCCTGAGTCACGCTGCTGTGAACATCAGTGTACAGATATCCGTCCAAGTCTCTGCTTTCATTTATTTTCTCTGTAGATCCAGAAGAAGCCCTGCTGGGTCAATTGGTAACTTTGTTTAAATTTTTGAAGAACCACCATTCTGTTTCTACAGAGGCCACACCAGTTTATCTGCCAGGCAACAATGCAGAAGGGTCCCAGTCTCTTCATGTCCTTGCCGTCACTTGCTGTTTTCTCTTAGTTTAATGATAACCATCCTCACGGGTGTCGAGTGGTATGTTATTATCTTAATTTGCATTTCCCTAATGATAAGGAATGTTGAGCATCTTCTCATTTGTTTATTGGAAAAAAATGTCTGTTCAAGACCTTTGCCTGTTTTCAAATTAGGTTGTTCAGAGTTTCTGTTGTTGAATTTTGCTAGTTCTTTCTGTGTTCTGGGTATTAATCTTGCATCAGATGTGTCATTTACAAATCTCCTCACTTTGGTGGCTGCAGGGTGGCTGTATATTGAGATGCCCCCATTTATTTCCCTCTTGTTTCCAGTGTCTCGTCACAGTCAGCAGGCTGTGGGGAGCATCCTGTGCGCTGTGGGCTCTTGGGCATATAAGCACGTGGGTCCTTAGGTAAATCCTGAATAAAGTCAAGCTGCTGGACTGGGGGACATGGAACTGTTAGCAGATATCACCAGGTCACCCTGCAGCATTTAGACCAAGTCGGGTTAAAGGAGGCATGGAAATTTTCCTGGGGAGAGAAAAGGTTCTCAGAAGGGCTGCCCAATGAATGTAGGAAGCAGGAAGACTACAGTTCTTCTCAGTCCTTCCCTTTGTTCTGGAGGGTGGAAGACTGACCCCAGGATATGTACACTGATAGATGGACCCTCAGGCCTTCTCAGCACTAGCTGCCCAGGGTGCTCCTTCTCACATGTCCCCATTCAGGGTCACCAGGCATACTCAGACAAGGATGAGGGTGGTGATGGATTGGGGTGGGGTCAGAGTCTACCCCCATCAGAGTCAGAGCTTAGAATATATTTTAAAGGAGTCTCTCTCAAGTCCACTGACTGCAGATCCAAGATGAGAAACAGGCTGACTTACTTGTCTGCAAGTCATTGAACTTCCAGAACACCCCACCCTGAGGTGGCAGGCTCGACTTCTTCTCTCCCACACTCTAGCAGTACTGGTCCAGTGCGGTCTCCTACAGAAACGGGGTGTTTGAGATCAGCAGTCAGGCCAGGCACGTGGCACAGCTTGTAATCTCAGGGACTCTGGCTGAGGCAGGGGCTTCACAAGTTTGAGGACAGCCTTGGCAACTTAGTGAAACCATGTCTCAAAGTAAAATATTTAAAAAGGGCTGGGAATGTAATTCAGAGGGAGAATGCTCCTGGGTCAAAGCCTAATAACACACACACAGACACACACAAACATACACACAAAATCAGCTGTCATCTCCCTGTGGCCAGTGGGCCAAATCGCTCCCCTTTGTTTTTATTAATAAAGCTTTATTGGAACACAGCCATGCTTATTTGTTCAGGCACTGCCTGTGGCTGCTTTTGTGCTGCAGCAGCAGTTGAGTGGTTGCAATAAAGAACATGCAACCCTTTATAGAGAAAGCATCAACCTCTAGATGTATTTATAAATTCACAAGCAATCAAACTTCTATTTTCTTTTATTAGGATTGCTTCTACGCTTGACTGACAAGTGAAGCTCTCAGCAGAGTTTTCTGGCTGCCACACACACCCTGACACGCTCTGCTGTGGTGGCCAGAAGCTCAAACGCAGACTAGCATGGCGAAGGCCTTACCAGGAGAGAGCCCTGTGTGGGGAGTACACCTCGTTACCCACTGGGTAAGGGGTGGACTAGATGAGTGTTTGAGGGCCCTTCCCCCCAGAGAATTGTGAGCTAACATGGTTTTATTGATGAGAACCTTGCAACAATAGATTTAGACTGACCATGGTAACTCAAAGATCAGAAATCAGTTCCCGCATTTAAATACTACAGACTCAAAACATTAGATCCACTCGACAAACATGAAGTGCTAATAGCATAGTAAGCACAAAGCTACAATGAATGATGACGAAAGCCCTCTAGTTCACAGTGAGTTCTGCGTTCTTAAACTGTGATTAACTGTGGCCTGGTGTACTGTTGTAGATTTTCTGGTGTTAGTCATTTATTGGTGCATTTAGTAACTGGCTTTCCTTTTCATTTCCAGCTTTGTCCTGCCAAGAAGTTACTGAGGAAGAGGTCTTGGATGCAAGCTGCTTGCTGGATGTCTTAAGAATGTATAGGTGGCAGATCTCTTCCTTTGAAGAACAGGTGAGCACAGCATGCAACAGGTGTGGCTCAGAGAAGCCTTTTCCCTAGAGGCTTAGGGAGCAACCTTGCAGTTGCCTGGTGTGAGTGTATGTTTATAGTGCAGGTGACAGAACCCAGGGTCTTGAACATGTCAGGCAAGTGTTCTACTATTGAGTTCCATCCCCAGTGTTTCTGTGACATTTAGACAACCTCAGTGTTTTGGGACCAAAGCACCAACTTCCTCCCTGCTCTCGCCATCAGAGCAGACACACAGCCCTTTGCCACCCAGTGGAGAAAGGTTAGTGGCATGGAGCATAAACAGTTGCCAAAGAGGGAAAATATTTCAGTTCTCCAGTGACCTTGCTCTTACAGTGGCTAGATAGGGAGGCCTGGGTCCTTTAAAAAGTGGCAAATGGTGTCATCTTAGTGTTCCAGAGATTTAAGTGAGATCCTTTTTTGGCCAAAGCTCTCATTTTTAAGGAAGTCAGACTTCAGAGATGAGCTTAAAGTGGCCCCAAGCCTTGAGTAGGGTCATATGCAACCCCAAGACTTTATTCCAGCCACTCCTCCCTCCCTGGTCCACACCTGCAGCTTCGCTGTCCACTTGGGATTTGGCTGCCCTCCTCCGTCCCAGACCACCATTGCCGATGGCAAGCCTGAGCCAGAGGCCCCCGGGGGCAGTTGTAGGAGGGAAAAACCACTCTGTTGCTCACTGCGGCAGAGGGGCCTTTTCTGTTTTGTGCAGGCCGCTTCTGCCCCTCTGGTGCAAACACAGACCTGAGAAAGGGGACATGGCCTTCTAGACCTCCCCAGACTGTGGGGCTGGAGCAAGAGGCATTCTAAAAACATGAAAAGGGAACAAGGGGCCTTTCTAGCTCCCCTTCGTTTAAGATGACCTCTAGTTCCTCGTTCCTCTCTGATCTGAAGCCACGAACATGTTGGTGATGTCTCTGCTTTATATGTATATTTAGTTATATATGGACACAATATCTTTATTTTGTTTATTTATTTTTATGTTATGCTGAGGTTCGAACCCAGTGCCTCATGTGTGCGAGGCAAGCACTCTGCCACTGAGCCACAACCCAGCCCATGTTTATGATTTTTTAAGATGCATATCTTTTAATCCAATTGTATCTTGAAATGTTTTTCCATTTAGAACGCTGGAAAGCATGTGTGTGTGTGTGTGGTGCTGGGTACAGGTACACAAGTACTCTACCACTGAGCTGAACTCCAGCCCTTTTAAATGTGTCTCAACTGAGAGTATGGATTCGAGGTTCAGTCCCTGATGACATTAGATAACTTTTGTCATCAAAGACCCACGTAAGGGCTAGGGTTGTGGCTCAGTGGTAGAGCGCTTGTCTAGCATGCATGAGGCACTGTGTTTGATCCCCAGCACCACATAAAAAACTAAATAAACAAAATAAAGGTATTGTGTCCATGTACAACTAAAAATATTATAAAAGACAACAAAATAAAATAAGACCCACTTAAATTATACCTGATTTCCTGGAAGTGTTCTCAGCATGCTCAGCCCAGAGCAGTCCTGGCTGGGTAGTGCTTTAGTATGCAGGGAAGCCGGTGATCGTGTCTTTCTGTTGGTCTCTTGCTCTTTGAAGGGATCCAGAGCATCTGGCACGGCACCTTGTCCATCTGCACCACAGAGGATCTAGTCAGTCAGTAGCTTACTCTTGCTGACCATCAACACATTTTCTGTCTATAGCTCCAGAAATCCTTCTTTGTGTAAACTGATTTGATCTGTACAACAACCCTGTAAGCAATTACTGTTATTATCCCAAATTTATAGATGGGGTCACTGAGGCTTGGAGAAAGGAAATGATTTATCCAAAGTTACAACGCTGCTTGGTGGCTGAGTCCCATTGGAGCTTACCCGGCACTACAGCATACTCTCAAGTTCCACCCTCTTCTGCAAAACTGTTCATTCCTGGGAGATTCTGCAGCTCTGTGACTGACAGGACAGATTGTGGTCTGACTCTGCCCTGCCTCAGGAGTGCTCCAGGGCTGGGGCGGAGTCCTGACTGTCAGGGCCCATCCAGTCTCCTGGGAAGAGCTGAATCCCTCCCGGCTCCCAGCTCATCACTCCCTGTTCCAGGGCTGACTCTGTGCTTGTGCTCTTGGTGACTGGCCAGGCTGCCCCTGGATTATGAATCTGCCCCTGGATTATGAGTCCCTGGGTGGCAAGACCCTTGCCTTGTTTATTCTTGACTCTTTTTCCAACAAGTATCTATTGAGTGCCTGCCTTGGGCGGGGCCTGTTGAGCACAGGCAGTGGTAACAGCAGTCGACTTGGCAGATCCCCTGCTCCCATGAACTTGAATTCTTGTGGTGGAAGGAGAGGGTTGCAGGCTGTAGACAGGTGATTTCAAGATGTGCAAACAAGAAAATAAATAGGATGACATAATAAGTCCGCCGTGGGGCAAGGGGAGCCTGCTGTAGGCAGGCAGGGCCCATCTGGAGAGGTGAGGTTCTAGTGAGACTGAAGCATGAAGAGGGGTGAGGCCATGCAGAATGTTCTAGACAGAGCAGCAAGCCAGGATGGAAACATAAAGATGGCTGTAAGCCACAGAGTTTGGAGGACAGCAGGAAGGCTGGGGTGGCTGGCTGGGGCTGGGGCAGTGGGAGGGAAGGCAGAGGTTGTCAGGAAGCAGGGAGGCTGTGGCAGGGCCTAGCTTTTACTGTGTGTGCAGGAGGGGGCCATAGAAGGCTTTGAACAGCGCCCTGGTTTGATCTGACTTGTACTTGAAAAGGAAGGGGGCCAGAGTGAGAGGGAGAGGAAGGCGGGAGGCTGTGGCTACTCCACCTAAGGTGGCTTATTGGCGGTGGGGGGACAGGCAGCTTTGGATATTGGCGGGGGAGGTCCCCCTGTGGGGAGCCATTTCAGGGAGGCCTGAGGGATGGAAAGGGCAGCTTGGGAACAGGTGGGCATGGCTTGAGATGGGAGTGAACTTGTTTTACTCAAGGGCCATGAAAGAGGCCAGGGGCTGGAGCACGTCGGTGAGGTAGAGTGTTCTAGAATGTGTCAGGGTCAGAGCCTCTCGTGGAGGGCTTTGCAGGAGATCAGAGGCTTTTCCCTGGCAGTGAGAGCCGCCGGGAGACTGGAAGCAGAAGAGCAAAACCATTGGCCTTTAAAAAGATGGCTCCATCAGTGCTCAGCCTTGGGGCTCAGGTCAACAGAGTGCTGTTCTCATTCTGCTGGCCACGCGGAGTCGGGTGAAGAGTGGGAGTCAAGGTCTCCAGGAGGATCAGCACCCTGAGAGCCTGGGGAGGAGAGCAGGAGAGATGGGAGTCAGGGCTTGGGCTTTTGGGGAGAGAGAGGATCATTTGAACTGATCCTTAAAGAGGAGCCTCTTGCCACGTGACCCAGAAGCTCCACTTCGGGGTACATACCAAAAAGTCACAAACAGACTCAGAGTTTCCACACCCCTGCTGCACAGAGCAGGGTTGTTCTCAGAAGCCCACAGGTGGAAGCAACCGTGTGTCCATCAGTAGAGGAACCGATGAACAAAAGTTGTCTGTGGGTGCCAGGGATTGAACCCAGGGCCACTGTACCACTAGCCACATCCCAGCCCTTTATATATATATATATTTTTTAAGCTTTTTTTTCTCTCTCTCTTCTCCCCTCTCCCCCTAACAAGTTTTTTTTTTTACTTTTTTAAAAATTTTATTCATTTATTTATATGTGGTGCTGAGAATTGAACACAGTGCTTTATATATGCAAGGCAAGTGCTCTACCACTGAGCCACATCCCAGCCCTTTGTATTTTTAATTTTGAAACAGGGTCTAGCCAAGTAGCTCAGGGCCTCACTAAGTTGCTGAGGCTGCCTTCAAACTTATGATGCTCTGGCCTCAGCCTCCTGAGTTGCTGGGATTATTGGCATGTGCTACTGTTCCTGGCAAAAGTTTCATGCAATAAAATATTATTCAGCCTTTAAAAAGGAGGAGGGCTGGGTTTGTAGCTCCGTGGAAGAGCACTTGCCTTGCACATGGGAGGCACTGGGTTCCATCCTCAGCACCATATAAGAATAAATAATTTAAATAAAGTCATGTGTCCATCTACAACTAAAAAAAAAGAAAAAAGTTTAAAAAAGAAGAAAATTCTGACACATGCTTCAGTTAGATGAACCTTGAAGACATTGTGCCCCGTGGACTAAGCCAGTCACAAAAGGGCTAATAGTATATAATTCCACTTCTATAATGTCCCTAGAATCGTCAGAGTCCTAGAGACAGGACATGGAGTGGGGCCAGGTCCCGGAGAGGGCAAATGGGAGTGAATGTTTAATGGGGAGAGAGTTTGAGTTTGTGAAGATGGGAAAATCCTAGGGGTGAACGGTGGGGATGGGGACAAACACAGAGTGTATTTAATTCCACTGAACTGTATCTTTAGAAGAGGCTAACGTGGTACCCAGGCATGGCGGCACACACCTGTGGTACCAGCAGCTCAGAAATGGCTGGTGTGGTAAATTTTATGTGTATTTTACCATAACCTAAAAAGAAAAAGCACTCCTTGGGAGTCCAGTGGAGTGAAGGTCAAGGCCATTGTTAGACCAGGACGCAAGAAAAGACCACTGACTCCAATTAAAATCAAATTAAAGCAAGCTTATTATTTCGACCGGCAGGACTGCCTTTCCCTCCCAAAACGGTGGGAACAAGACAGCAGCCCCACCTTTCCTACAGCCCAGCTTTATAGCCCAGAAAGTTACACAAAAGAGGGGTTACAGATAACAGAACTCTGACAAGCATCACACTAACGGTAGTTTACATTTTTTGCTGGCCCCAACATCAGAATTTATGAAGACCATTAGAGCCTCAGAGAGGGTCGTTGTCTGGCCAGGGAAGGCCAATATTTATGAGGTGTCACTAAAGTTTCAGAGAGGGCTGCTATCTGGTCAGAGAGCCAGGCATGGGTGAGTTCAAGGCACGGGCAGGCATTCCAAGCAGGTTCAGAATTTGCAGTAATTTATAGTAAAGCCGAAATTAGCTTTTCATGGCTTTGTGGCAAGATGGCTCCCAATTTAATAAAAGATCAGGTTGGGTCTATCAGCCATGTCAGTTCAGCTGACACTGGCTGCTGATAGGAGGGCAGCCGCCCCCTCTCTGCCTTCTCAGTCCTCCTGGACCTCTGAGTTGAGAGTCCCCACCTTTGGAGTCATCATCTACCATGTGACAGTTTTCCTTAAGGAGCAGGGCCCTGAGAAGGTGGAGAGCCCATTCTGCCCTCTCTAACTACGGGGGTCCGCCTGGTGGCCACAGAGGAGGTGGTGCTGGTCTCGAAGTGACTTCATGGGGCCTCTCTGAAGAATGCTTTGCTCTGTGACAGGATGCTCATGAATTATTCCACGTCATTACCTCATCACTGGAAGATGAGCGGGACCGCCAGCCAAGGGTCACGCATCTGTTTGACGTGCATTCTCTGGAGGTAACCGTTAATATTTTTCACATGCTTAATGCTATTTGAACGTATTTAGTCTTTGTAGAAAACACAAGTATAATCTTTGTACAACTTTAAGCACAAAAAGGTAGGCTTTAGAAAGAATCAGTAGTGGGGATGAGACTGGGGAGGGTCTTAAGGTACACTGTGCAGTCAATGCCTTTAGCTAGAGATGTCAGGCTTTTTAAAATGATGCATTGCTGAGATTTGTGTTCTAGAGAAGAAAGAATGTATTATTTTTCCCAGTTTAATGGAGGAGAACAAAGGGCCATAGAATTGCTAAGTGGGACCTCATTTCCCTGAACAGTGTCATATTTGGGGAGATGATAAAAGTTAACTAGTAAAGGGGAGTGCCCCAGGGAGGGGAGGCGTTTTAATCGCCTTGGATGGAGGAGCCTGCAGGAGCCAGCCAGACACTAGTGAGCATGCTTTGAGAACCATGGGCTGTGTCGGAAGTTCATTTTGAGTGATGCCATCAGCACAGAAACTTGTAAACTCTCTCGGGGTGGAGAGGGAAGGAGGGGCTGCCGCGGGATTTTCAGTCTGTTTCTTTTTCCCTTACAGCAGCAGTCAGAAATAACTCCCAAACAGATCACCTGCCGCACAAGAGGTAGCTGTTTTCTATTGAATGTAACACATAGATGCATACTTTGTAGATATGACACTAATCTACTTGTTTTAAAAAGTTGTTGTTATTTAAATTTTTCTTGATGACACCCAATCCAGCCTGGACTGTGGTCTAGTTACAAAGGAACTTGTATTTTGGGAACAGCTTTAAATGATTGTCTCAGTGTTCCTTGCACCCCAGGCCTGCTCAGGTTCCTCCAGAAGGACTTTGCTTTTCCCACAAGGGCTTTCTTTTTGCTTCTGGAATTTCAGATCGTGGGTAATTCCATTTTAACGCATTCTGTCCTCAGGATTTCCACCTTGGCCCACTTTTACTGCAAATCATCACAGTTCTCCTTTGAAGGGGAATCCTTGTTAACTCTTAAGGCTTAAACTTAAAAAGTAAAATTGACACATAATTTCCTTTGTGCCTTAGTTGTAATAGAAACAAAATACCTCTTTTAAATGCATTTTGTATTCTAGGCATTGCAATTTGTCATCTAAGTTTCCCAACAACTCTATGAAGTTGATTCTGGGGACAGTGGATTAATAATCATCCCTGTTTCCAGCAGATGAGACTTTCAGAGATGAAAGAACTTCCCAGGTCATGAGCAGAGCCAGCAAGGAGGTCGGGCTGCCTGACCCCCGAGCCCGTGCTCCTCTCTAGGGTGTGGTCCTCCAACCTCCATCCCAGCCAAAGCAGATCCCAGTTCTTCAGAACTTGCTTATTCTGATCATTTCAGAAGCTTAGCTCCCTGTATGGAATGCTCACTAGTGAAACCTTTCATTGAAATCCCTAGCATTTTAAGCCTGTATGTGTAAGAAGATGTTATTAAATGCAGATTCTTTTTTCAAATGTGGCTGTACCCATGATATAGAGACCCATGTGAAGAACTATGGGAATCTGTGGAGAAGGAATGCATGTGTGTTTGCTGGAAGTCAATGAGGAAAACTCTTTGAATGAACTTTTTATTTTACCTAAAGAGTGTCTCCTGTAAAAAGGAGGGTATGTTTTGAGATTGGTGCCAAAGGGCTAACAGTGGCATATCAAAAGGTGTTTTGTGTCCCAGGGTCTCCTCACCCCACGTCCAGTCACTGGAAGGCGCAGCACCCTTTTCATGGGAGACTCACGAGCAACATGGTCTGCAAACACTGTGAACACCAGGTAAGTGCAGCACCAGCGCTTGATGTTCCTGCGAGCTTTGCTTCTGAGTCAGGGTTCATGGAAGGATCTAGAGAGTGTGGGCTAACCTCAGTGAATGGTGCTGGTATGCCCAGGCTCTGCATACCTGGAGGGCTGACTTCCCGCTTTGGTCAGCACCAACATGTCACCTGTTCTCACTTGGCGTCTTCTGCACCAGAAGCAGCAGATCTATTGTGAATCAGCAGAATTTTGAGTTCTGAGGTTGAGTTTATGCTAAAGTGGACGCATAGATTCTAGGACTGGAGGGTTTGGTTTTGTTTGCATTTGATATGTTAAGGTAATTTTTTTTTAGAAAGTTTCATCTTTTCTCAAATATTTTATAGTTATACATGGACACAATATCTTTATTTTGCTTATTATTTTTACGTGGTGCTGAGGATTGAACCCAGTGCCTCACATATGCGAGGCAAGCACTCTGCCACTGAGCCACAACCCCAACCCAAAGTAATTTTTTTTAAAATAGTTTTTTGGTTGTAGATGGGCACAATATCTGTATTCTATTTATTTATTTTTATGTGGGCTGAGGATTGAACCTAGTCTAGGCCTCATGCATGCAAGGCAGACACTCTACCACTGAGCTACAGCCCCAGCCCCAAAGTAATTTTTATTATGGAAAATTTTCAACATAATAAAAATATTTTGTAACTGTCACTTCTACCAACTTTAGACATCTCTCCTCTCCTCAAAATAAACCTCATGCCCATTATCAGTGTCTCCCCATCCTCTCCATGTCCCCACCTCTGGCAACCACTGATTGACCTTCCATCTCAGTGGATCTGCCTGTTCAGGACATTTCAGATGCATGGAATCATACCACATATGTCCTTTCATGTCTGGCTTCTTTCACTAGCAAAATATCTTCAAGATTCTTTCACATTGTAGCGTGTATGAATGCATTTCTGTTTATTGCCAAATAATATTGCATTGCACAGATAAACCACGTTTTGTTTATTAAATCCATCAATTGATGGGCATTCGGATTGTTTTCATTTTGGAAACGGTTGTATACATGTTGTTGTTTATTTAATTGGTTCCTTTTAGTTATACGTGACAGCAGAATCCATTTTGAAAAAAATCATACAAGCATGGGATATATCTTATTCTAGTTAGAGTCCCATTCTATGGATGTTCATGGTGGGTATACAGGCTTTTTGTGTGCAAACTTTTATGTAGAAATATGTTTTCAATTTAGTTAGGAGTATATATATACCTAGAAGTGGAATTGCTGCCTGATGTGGTAATTCCATTTTGACCTTTTGAGAAACTGCTGGTCTTTTCTAAGGTGGCTGCACCACTGATTCTCCCCCAGCCGCATGCTGAGGGCTCCCGTTCTTCACAGCTCACCGCCCCTGTGCAGGCTGACTTTTGATTGCAGCCGTCCTTATAGCTATGGAGTAGTGTCTCTCTATAGGTGTTTTCCCTGCTTTACTGAGGCATAACTGATGAAATTGTGTCTATTTAAGGGGTATAGAGCAATGGCTTGAAGAACGTGTGCCCTGTGAGATGGTCACCACAGTCACGCTGTTCAACACATGCATCTCCTGGCGTGGTCACCTTTTCGTGTATGTGCAGTAAAGGCACTTGAACTCCTATCTCAGAAAACAGGACACAGTACAATACTAGCTGTAGTCACCGTGCTGTGTGCAGGACCCGGACCGTGAGCCTTGTAGCTGGAGGTTTGTGGCAGTGTCCCTGGCATCCCCGCCTTGGTAGTTACCATTCTACTCTCTGCTTCTGTAAATTCGACTTTGGAGTCTAGATTCATACTGTAGCGTGATGATGTGGTATTTGTCTTTCTGTGTCTGGATGACGTCAGTCAGCATGTAATGTCCCCTGGGTGCACCTGCGGTATCACAAAATGGCAGGGTTTCCTTCTTTTTTATGGTCAGTACTATTCTGCTGTACGTATTTATTTGTGTATGTGTGTACGTACACACATGCACCACATTTTCTTTTTCCACCCATCCATTGACAGACACCTAGATAGTTTTGGAATCTTGGCCGTCCAGACTAATGCGAGGGGTGATTCTGTCTCCTCTGGGTATCTGCACAGAAGAGGAATTCCTGGGGCACATGGTAATTCTAATTTTAACTTTTTGAGGGGTCTCCACAATTTTCCATGAAAACTGCGTCAGTTTGCATTCCCACAACAGCATAAGGAGTTCCCCATCCTCCACACCTTGCCAGCACTTGGTGTCTCTTGTCTTTTTAATGACAACCTTCCAAATAAGTGTGAGGCAATGTTGTAGTTGGGGTCTAGATTTGCGTTTCCCTGACGGGTAGTGATGTTGAGCACTCAGGGCCCTGTTGGCTGTTTCTCTGTCGCCTTTGGAAATGTGTTTACAGGTCCTTTGCCCAATTTTTAATGATGTTACTTGTCTTGTTTGTTTTGGGGGGAGTTTTCTTTTTTTTATTGTTGACTTGTATGAGTTCCTTATTCATTTTAGATATTAACCCCTTTTCAGATTCATCGTTTGCAAATATTTCTAGCCATTCTGCATGTTACCTTTTTTTATTGTTTATTTCCTTTACTGTCTTGTTTTGATTGGAGTTACCCTGAAGTCTGAGGTGTTGAAAAAAAAATAAGGCTGATACACCACAGCTCCTTGACATGCCTTATTTTATAAGTCACCCACTCTTCCCTCCTATTTTTTCATTGCATTTTATTTTTATTTTAAAGCTATTGTAAAGTGGAATTAAAGTTTTTTTATTTCCCAGCCAACTGAGGTGGCAACACCTGTAATCTCAGCTACTCAGGAGGCTGAGGTAGGAGGATGGCAAGTTCAAGGCCAGCCTGGGCAACTTAGTGAGACCCTATCTCAAAATAAAATAAAAAGGGTAGGGGATACAGCTCAGTGGTAGAGTGCTTGCCTAGCACATCTAGGGCTCTGGGTTCAGTTCTCAGTACCACACCCAAAAATTATTTCCTGGTTGTTTGCCAGTAGTAGTTTATAAAAACACAGTTGTTTATGAACCTTGTATCTTGAGAAAGCTTCATGTGTCAGTTGTGGAAGTTTTGTTGTAGATCATATGTATATAATCATGTCTGTGGACGTGAACACTGTTAGTTCTTCCTGTCCAATCTTCACGCTGTTTACCTATTTATTTTCCCTGCCATCTGTTCTGGCGAGGACCTCTGTACAGAGTTGCTCAAGAGTGGCCATTGCAGACATCCTTGTTTTGTTTCAGATCTTAAGAACCAAGTCTTTGGTGTTTTATAACTAAGATTGGTATTAGCTTTATTGTAATGAGAAAGTTTCCTGCTATTCCTAGTTTGCTGTGAGTTTTTTTTTAAATATTTTTTTAGCTGTAGATGGACACAGTATTTTTATTTTTATTTATTTTTATGTGGTGCCGAGGATGGAAGCCAGTGCCCCACACATGCGAAGCAAGTGCTCTGCCACTGAGCCACAGCCCAGCCCTGCTGCAAGTTTTTACAGGGAATAATGATTGAATTTTATCATGCTTTTCCCATGTCTGTTGAGATGATCATATTTTATTCTTTTATCCCATTAATATGTGAAAAGGCAGTTTTAAATTTTTTCTAGCATTAAACCAACCTTGAATTTTTGAAACTCGTTTGATTATGATGTTCTGCTGGACATGATTTCTAATATTTTCTAAAGGCTATGTGGCTATTTATGAGGAAGGTTAATGTTTCAATTTTCTTCTCTTGTAATGTCTTCATCAGACTTTGCTAGGATCATGCTGGCCTCATGAAATAAGAGGTATTCCCTCTATTCCTGAACAATTTTGTTTAACATTGTTATTATTTCTTCCTTAAATATTTGATAGAATTTTTATTTCTTTCCTTAGTTCATGGTTCTGTTTACACTTTGCTATGAGATACAGGCACATATACTTTTTCCACATTTTTAAAAATATTTTTATTGTAGATGGTTACAATATGTTTATTCTATTTATTTATTTTTATGTGGTGCTGGGGATTGAACCCAGTGCCTCATATGTGCTAGGCAAGCTCTCTACCACTGAGCCCCAGCCCCAGCCCTTTTCCACATTTTTTATTGGTGCCCAAGCATATATATTATGAGAAATTGACTCTTACTGTCTTAATAAAATGTCCTCTTCATCTCTGACTCACCTACTTCCATGAAATCAAGTCTGTTTGATTCATTTTCATCTTACTAGTGTTTTTTTGATATGTCCTTTTCTTTCTTCATATTTTCAACCTTTGTCTTTGTAGCTAAAGTATAGATTTTATAGATAGCATATGATTAGGTCTTGCTCTTTTATTCAGCTTGAGAATCTGCCTTTTAATTGGAGTGTTTAGTCCATTTACATTTATTGTAAGTATTCATATGCTTAGATTCAGGTCTGCCACTTTACCATTTGTTTTGTAAATTGTCTTACATATTTCTATTTGGCTTACACATTTCTTGTTCCTCTGTTTCTTCTTTCTGGCTTCTTTTGGGTTAATCAATACTTTTTGGAATTCTGTTATTGGCCTTTTTGTGTATATGTGATTACTCATTTTACCCATATCATAGCCTATTTAGAGTCAATATCTACTCTTTTATGTAAAAAGTATTGGAATGTTTAAAAATAATTTTGCTGGGTGTGGTGGCACAAACCTGTAATCCCAGAAACTTGGAAGGCTGAGGCAAGAGGATGGCAGATTCGAGGCCAGTCTCAGCAACTGAGCAAGACCCTCAGAAATTTGGTGAGACCCTATTTCAAAATAAAAAATAAAAAGGGCCAGGGATGTGGGACTGGGGTTGAGGCTCAGTGGTAAAGTGCTTGCTTAGGACAGTTGAGAACCTGGGTTCCATCCTCAGCACCACATAAAAACAAATAATAACAACAAAAAGTGTGTATACATGTATATATGTGTATGTGTGAATATATATATATATATATATATATATATATACACACATACATACACACACACACACACAAATCTGTGTATATATGTGTGTATGTTCATATATACATATATGTATTCTTCAAAAATCAGAGCTGATCAAAATATTTTATAGACATGAAATATCAGTGTATCTGCCACAACTAGACCTATAAGAAATGTTAATTGGGGTCATTTTAGGCTGAAGGGAAAAAACATCAAATGGACTTAGATCTACAGGGAACAGAACCAGGTGCAGTAGAGCATGCCTGTAATCAGAGTGCTCAGGAGGCTGAGATAGGAGGATGGAGAGTTCAAGGCCAGTCTCAGTAAAGTGAGGTACTAAGCAACTCTATAGAATTTGGAGTTGACCTTGTTGCTTTTATCTTGCTTTGGTGTACTTTAAATATGTTATTTTAAAGACGTTGTTTTCTTCTGGGCATTTTTTTTCAAAAAGTGTGTCATTCATATTTTCTTCTGAATTTAAAATATCATTTTTCTAAAGCTTCTGCTTACAAGGTTTTCTCTTTTGTTCATCCTGTGTGTAGATAGTTTTCTTAAGATTTATCCTGCTTGGGGTTTGCTGAGTTCCTACAATCTGTGTTTTTGTGTTCCACCAAAGTTTGGAGCTTGGCCATTGTTTGCCCAGTCGTCTTGCCTGTTGTGGACTCACCAGGCTGCTGATGTGTGGTTCCCCGGGTCACTGATGCCATGTTCATTTCTCATCGTCTTTTCCCTCTGTGTTCTACAAACTCAGTCATTTCTATTGACCCATCTTTAAGTTTGCTGACTCCTCCATCCTCGGTCTTTGCCTGTCCAGAACATTTTCCATTTTAGTTCTCTTTAGTTTTGGAATTTCCTTCTTTTCAATAGTCTCCATGTCTCTGCTGAGGTCCTCCATTTGTCCATGCACTGTAACTATGTTTCCCCTTTCTGACCTTGAGCATATTTACAACATACCTCTGAGGTCCTCCTGGGCTAATTTCAACATCTAGGTCACCTCCTTTTCACTTCACCATGGGTCACATTTTCCCTTCTTTGTATTGTGTATTCAGTCATTTTTATTGCATATTTTATATTGTAGTAGAGACTGGATTGTGTTGTTTCTCTGACGGAAAATGGCTTTTGCCCTGGCAGTCAGTTCATTTGACGGGGCTCAGATTCCAGACCCTCCCTCTTCTGCCTGAGGGCCACAGAGTCTCTGCTCAGGTGTTTTCGCTTCCAGATGCTCCCTTTTGCCAGGCGCCCTGCATTCGGCCCTGAGCTGGTGCCATCCAAGATCAGCTCTAAGACTGGGCAGGATCTATCCACAGGTTTTGGAGCTCCTCCTCTCTTGGCTGCCCTCTTTCTGGGATTTGTCTGTGTCTTTTTACCAGCCCTAAACTTGGCATTCTGACAACTCAGGCCTGTAAGATTGCTGCTTTTGCCACCTGGCATTGTGCAGAGCAGGCAAAATAGGGCACATGGCGAGTCATTTTAGTTTCTGCCAGCTTCTGGCGATCATTCAGATGTTTTTTTTTACTGGGTCCATGTTTTATGGTTGTTGGCTGAAAAGGGGCCTGTCTAGCCAGGCTCCCCCGCTGCTACCCAAAGCAGGGAGCTTATCCTGTTTTATGTCTGACTTTTTCAATTAATCATATAAACATCATTTCACATAATCACACGTTCTTCTACCAATTAAGAGCTGGAAGAAACTAAATCCTTATAGTTATGTCTGTGGTTATTTCCTTAGATAAGATCCCCATGTTGCTGGGTCAGGTATGTGATCTTAAAGCTTTTTCAAGCTATTCTGTAGTATTATTGTTGCTGTTGAATTTGTTTGTTTTGTTTCTGTGGTGCTGGGAGTGAACCCAGGCCTCAAGCGTGTATGCAGAATAAGTGCCCTGTGCTGAGCTACACCCCACTCCCACAGTGCTTAGGTTTATAAGGTTGTTGTTAATAGAATTTTCTTCTGAGCACATTATGTTTTCTTATGTTAAATGTGAGCATCTAAATTAAATTAAACCAGGCACAGCAATTCATGCCCATAATCCTAGCAACTGGGGAGGCTGAGGCAGGAGGATCCCAAGTTCAAGGCCAGCTTCAGCAACTTAAAGAGACGCAGTCTCAAAATAAAAACTGAAAAGGGCTTGAGTGAGGCTCAGTGGTCAAGTCCTCCTGGGTTCAATGCCCAGGATTGCTGAATGAATAAATATGTACTAAAGTGTCTCACAGGCACATACATTCCATCTGTTGCATGGAATCTAAGGTTTTGTTTTTTTTTTCCTGCAATATTTGTTTCAGAGTCCTGTTCGATTTGATACCTTTGATAGCCTTTCACTAAGTATTCCAGCTGCCACTTGGGTATGTACCTCTGGTTGATTTGGGGTTGTTTTGCAAATATTTCAATCTGAAAGATCTTCAAGGCACTTTATGTAGCTCAGATCCTGTGTGTTATTCAAGACACATAGTCAGTCACACAATTCTTAACTCTAGGGTGTGGCACCAGGGCCTGATCATGGGGGAGAAAACATGGAGGGTTTTTGTCTTGCTGCAGGAAATTTGGCTTTTTCATCAAACACCACACATGTGCACACACACACTCCTCAAGATTTAAAGACACATAAAACAGATTTAGACGTCCAAATCATGGAAGTCCATAATTTTCCACGGCCTTTTATCCTTATACTCTTAGATGGGTCAGTAGTCGCAGTGCCAGATCCTTTGAGCTCCACCTTTGTGCAGGAGACATCCAGTTGTGTCTGCGGGGCTCTGTTGCCTGGGTTCAATTTGCAAATAATTGGGCAGCTCTGAGCTCCACCCAGCCACCTGCGAGTTCAGTACAGCTCTTCTTTGAATTATTCTAATTTTCTTCTCATGCTGTAGGGTCATCCCCTGACCCTGGACCACTGCCTTCACCACTTCATCTCCTCGGAATCCGTGCGCGATGTTGTGTGTGACAACTGTACAAAGGTATGCCTTGAATCCCAGTGGCGTCTCCCAGCTGGCGCGTGAGCTCCCGTAGTGCCCCTCACACTGCTGGCCTCAGCTCCTCTGACTGCTTGAGCCCAGAGGATGTGTGCAGTCCCTGCCATTTCCACCCGACCTGGTTTGGAAAGTGACTGCCCAAGGAGTTTGTTTCCCAGATGAGTTTCGTCTCATCCACAGCGTGTTTAAAGAAGAAGCATACAGGTTAGGCTGGAGCTGGGAGACGCAGTTCTCTCCACTCCCCTTTCTCTCGTGCCCTGCCTTTTCTCTGTGCTGTCCGTCTGAGTCCCCATGTGACTGCATTTCACCCTTTGAATGGAGAGGAATTGTGTGGACCGAATTTTTGAAGACAGAAGACAAGATAGATTTCATGCCAGAGTTTCAGTTTTGACTCCTCATTTTTCTCCTCCCTCCATGGCTACCGTAATTTAACAATCAAGAGGATCAGTGGGAACAGTTTGCAAATAATTGGGCACTGAGTTGATTTCAGCAGGTAGCAGTCCAGTGCCAGTCACATGCACCAGCCCCATCGCTGCCCTCCATAGATGTCCTGTTCAGGGTTTTCACAGAGAAATGTTGTTACTTCCATTTCAGATTGAGGCAAAAGGAACCTTGAATGGGGAAAAGGTGGAGCACCAGAGGACCACTTTTGTTAAACAGTTAAAACTAGGGAAGGTGAGCCCACCCTTTGCACCAGCTTGACTTTGCTTTGGAGGGATCCCCTATCCTGCCCTGAAACGTCCCGCCCTTTCCGCTTCCTCTCCCTCCGCAGCTCCCGCAGTGTCTCTGCATCCACCTGCAGCGGCTGAGCTGGTCCAGTCACGGCACGCCTCTGAAGCGGCACGAGCACGTGCAGTTTAATGAGTTCCTGATGATGGACATCTACAAGTACCGGCTCCTGGGCCACAGGCCCAGTCAGCACCACCCTAAACTGAAGGAGAGCCCGGGGCCTGCGCTGGAACTGCAGGACGGGCCAGCCGCCCCCAAACCAGGTGTGTGCCCGAAGCAACCACCTTTCCTCAGCACAGAGCAGGGGTTTGGCAGCACCACATTCTGGCTTTCCCATAATCTGAGCACAAGGCTTATACAGTGTTAGTCAGAATTCTTGGGAACAGCAGGTTCGGGAGTAGAAAAGGGGTTTTTTGTTTGTTTTTATGTGTGGTGCTGGTGCTGGGATCCCACCCAGGACCTCATGAATTCTAGGTAGGTGTGATACCCGTGAGCTACACCCCAGCCAAGATTTCTTAAAGAGGTTAAAATTGTACAGTAATGAGGGCTGGGGATGTAGTTCAGTAGCAGGACTCTTGCCTGGCATGCATAAGGCCTGGGGTTCAATCTCTAGAACCGCCCCCCCCACACACACACAAAAATTACACAGTAATCAGAAACAGTTCTTAAAATTCCATTATAGATGAAAAAGTACAGGAGGAAAGCTCAAGATTGTAGACTTCTTTTTCATCTTTGGACTAAACAGTAACTGACTCTGATCATTCCAGTGAACTTGCATTTCTTTCTCCTGGCCCCTAAAACAAGTCATCGCATTCATACAAGGAGTATGTGGCGGGGTAAACGTCCTGGCTGAACATCTTATTTGGGTTCACAGGACTTTTTACTGGATTGTTGATCTCATTCTGTTACTGTCCTCGTCTGAGATTAATTGTTAAATGGGTCCCCATTAGGCAAGGTCACCCATGAGAAACTGGAGGCTCCCTGTGGTTCACAGTTGGCCCAGGGCATCCAGCAGCTGGTGCTCTGGCCTGCAGTGTGGGTCGGGATGGTGTTTGAAGGTGTCTTGTGCAGCCCATTGGGTTCTTTGGAGTTGTAGGTGAGGAAGACCCACCGACTTGTAGGCTCCATGCCTGAACCCACCCGCTGCACGCTGCCCCCAGGTGATCGGGACTGTCCTCCTGACTCCCACACTGTGTGGACTGAGGTCCCTCCCTCCTTTGGTTCTTTTTTCACAACCACAATTGCACGGCCTGGCAAGACCTCATCCGAGGAGACTCTACCTGGTTCTCCCTCACCAGGCCCAGGATTCACATCAGGAACCCTGAGGCAGGGAAGCCAGTCCCTGACCCTTGTTTGGCACCACAGCTCTCTTGCCCCAGCCTGCGCCAGCCCTGACCGAGGGGCAGCCTGCTGGTGCCCAGAGCACGCGGCTCTGTTCTAGATGCCAGTGTGAATTACGTGGTACAGGAGAGCCCCCAGACATGATGCTTGAGCTGAAAAGGGATGGAAATGTCCCCCTAGTGATGCTACCCATGACTCATAAGTGTTAATGCTGCCACATGTTGGTGTTCTTTAGAAGCGGACAGGGGTTTTTAAAAAATACAATGTTTACATCAGTGGTTCTCAGCATGAAGCGATGGAAGACTTTGGGCAATGTCTAGTGACATTTTTGGCTGTCACAAAACACCCTGTAACACAGCACATCCCCCACAATGAAGAGTTGCCCAGCCCAGAGTGTCTGTAGTGCCAGGTCGAGAGACCTTGGATCAAGTCAAAAGCCAATAAATTAACCCTTGCTTGCCAGGTGCCGGGCCACCCGCCTACAAACCCAGCCACTCAGGAGCCTGAGGCAGGAGGATCACAAATTCAAGGCCAGCCTCAGCAACTCTTGATGGCCCTAGCAACTTGTGAAACCCAGTCTTTAAGTGAAAAAGGGCTGGGGATGTGGTCAGTGGCTAAGCACCTCTGGGTTCAGTCCCTGGTACCAAGTAAATAAATACTGCTTTACTTTGGTACCTGTTGTTTGCCAATGGGAATGGGAATCTAAATGATCCACACAGTTATCAAGGCCAGCCCTCGATCTGGGGCTTGATACGCTTTTCCTACCTGGATTTAAAATAGGGACTGAGGGCTGGGGATATGGCTCAAGCGGTAGCACACTAGCCTGGCATGCGTGTGGCCCGGGTTCGATCCTCAGCACCACATACCAACAAAGATGTTGTGTCCACCGAGAACTAAAAAATAAATATTAAAAAA